GTGTGTGTGTACATGTGTGTGTATGACTTCCCAGCCAATTACCACATCTCCCAGACAGACTGAGACTGCCTAGGCCCTGCCAGCCAATCAGAGAGGGGCTGCGCACTGCCGGGCCGGAGGTGGTTGCTATGGTAACCAGGAGGCCTGTTTGCATGGTGGCTGATGGAAGAGTGATGGATTACAGTAATGGGATGGAGGGAGGGAAGAAGGGAGGAAGATAGGGAAGGAGGAAGGAAGAAAGAGGGAGGTGTAGGAAGAGGATGAGGATGGGAGGAAAAGAAAGAAAGACAAAATAGGAGGAGGAGGAGGGAAGGGATGGACAAGGGGAGGTGAGGAGGAGGAAGGAGGGAGGGAGACAGGCTCATACATAAAGATATTGGAAATGTATGAATGCATCTGAAATGAAGCGCCTTAAAAAGATGAAAAAAAGAATGAGAGAAAATGATAAAGGGAGAGTGGGGGAGGAGTGGAGGGGGAGAAGATATTGAGAAATGGGGTTGGGGTGGTGGGGGGGTTGGAGGGGTGCTCTGTAGTGTGTGATTGAATTCCTCTCTTTCCCTCTTCTGTCTGGGCTGAGATGTGTGTCTGGCTATCTGTCCTTGGAGCAGACAGAGAGGTAAGTGTGTGGAAAGATGCAGTCTCACCTTTTTGCCTCCTCAGCAGCACTGCAGTCACACTGTACCAGAACTACTTCAGTGTTTCCACCCAGTCCCCCCGACCTGCTCCAGCTGAAACTATAATGTGAAGGCCGAGCTAATGCACTTCGTTGCATATAGAGTCTTGATAAAATTGTGCTTGATAAATGTTTCTGTGTTAGTGAAAATCTTAATGTGAAAAGTTACAAACCAGTGTTAAACTGAATTACAGAAACCTTTTCACTCTCCCAAAAAAAAACTTTACTTGACTCCAATTGATCAGTAACCCTCATATTTTGTTGGCACTGGCTTTTCTTCCTCCTTGTTTGGGGCCCCACAGACTATTATTTTATGTGTGCAAATAAAAGCCAGTACCAGCCAAAGCCTGTAATACACACACTGGTCACGGTTCAAAACATTTAAAAATAAAGCTCAGTTATACCTGATAAGTCAACATTGACTTTTGGTTTAGTGGATCAGCGGGTCTATTACATAGTTTGGAGTGAGACTAGGCTAGTAAAATTATAGTAATAGAAAAATCAGCATTTTTTAACCTGTAATTATTGTTTTGCTTTTCTTCTGGCCTTAATAAAACCCAACATGCAAAAAAGAATTGAAGTCGTAAAACTTAACTTTACAACAAAATGGGCTTGCATATTTGATGACTGTGACAAAATAAAAAAATGACCATAAAGTATGGCAGTTATGGAGGTGTAACAGATTGTTATAAAACACCTGTGACAGAAATTCAAATGGACCCACTGTATTAGGATATGGGAGGCCAGTGTACATAAAAGAACTGTCAATACAAACCACACATATAGAGCACTATGAAAATCAATTGTATCTAACCGTATTTACAGCCGAGGTCTCTTAGTACCCCAAACAGGAATAATACATTGTTCTCAATATCTATAAAATCACTTCGGAAACAAATTTTGGAAAGTCATGAAGTATCAAGCCGATAAAGGTTTTTGAGCTGTTAAAGAGGGCTCTAGGACCCCAGTCGGTACATTAGCGTTAATGCTTTTGTCTACATACAGTGACAAATAAAAATGCGGACTACTTAACATATTCACCCAATAAGAATAATCTTCATTATCCACATTGGATCTATAGAACCAGAGAGCCCAAAGGCAATTAACAATCCAATTGCTTAATTAACAGTCTAACTAGATAATCAATCAAGTGACCAGGATCAATGTAAATCAAAGCATGTGGTTTCCTGGAGAGGAAAGGTAAGTTCAGAAAATTGCTCATCAGTGCCATTTAACAGCCTTTAAACAGTGATATTTGCTTCCTGGTCTCACACACATACAGTTTTCCTGATGAACCACACCGTGTTCGCTCTCACTGACAGACAGCGACTGAGGATGCTTTTGAGTCAAGGATTAGACTAAATCTGTGTCTGGGGAACTCAACTCCCTGTGATCTTTTTAAGTGACAAAGCACTATTCAAGTCAATTAAAGATGCAGTCCACTCAAATTAACTGCTGGGCCAAATCAGAAACATAAAAGACGTTACTCAAATCCATCATAGTGGCGGTTCAATACGTTCTCTTGTCATTCAGATTGTCACTTTTAATGATTATCTGCCACAATCCTCGCTTTGAAGGTTGTTTTATGGCTTTGATGCAGTCTATTGAGACAAAACTGTAATTTACTTGTTTTGAGTGTTGATAACACAGCCCATCAATGGCTGGATCATCAGTTTGCAGAATTTGTATTTTCCAGGTAGATGAACACTTGAATAATCTGCAGTGCAATCGTGTTCAAAAGAAAGAAACACAGACTTCAAAGGTCTTGTACTTGAAATCACAATTCAACACTGCAACCTAGAGGCAGACCTTAGCAACAACATCTGTGTTACATGCAAAAAAGAAAGTATTTACCTGTGAAACATCAGTCAGTCAATCACCTGCATGCACAGAGAAAGGAGGAATTCACTAATTCAGTCTAAATGACAAGAGAAAGCAAACAAATTAACAGATACATAAAAGCATGGAGGAGTTGAGAGACAAAAACTGCCCATTGTTGTGATTTTATATGTGCTTTATTTGTTTGATTGCTGCTGGGTTTTTTTTAATTTGCAGACTTTCAACAAATACAGTCTTATAAATAAAATGCTTTGGATTGGGTTCCATTTGTCAGTCACTATCTGAGTTTGGCTGCTATCTTGTCCCTCTTTGGATGTTTGCACGACTTACATCTGAAATTACACAGACAACCAAATAGTATGGATCATTAAGTACAACGTTCATTTATTTCCTTTAATATTAGAGGAATTAACCAGAGCAAACACGGTTACAACATTGTGTAATGTCGTGTACTGTCTTGCAGTCATGTACTGTGAGATTTACACAGATTGGTTAATGTGAAAAATGAACGTCAGCAGAGTAATGGGAAAATACAAGGCTGATTAAATAAAGCCTCACTCTCTTTATCTTATCCCTAATGTTCTTTGTGTTTTCTCTGGCATCCACCAGCTTCTGTGGCTTTATTATTCCACCTTCAGTTGGCCACACAGAGCATGTTAATGAACATCAATATAAAAATAAATGATAAAAACATAACTTGGTAAACATACCGGAGTAAGCAAAAATGATAAGTTACATCTGTAGTCCCTATGCAGGTAACAGAAACAAAAACATTACAAATACCAATATACAGATACACATATACAATTAAGTAAAAAAGGAGAGAATGCATTATGATGCTGATGATAAGTGATGCTGAAATTTTTACCTCTTTAAACATTACAGTCTACAAAGGAATTTCTAAGAATTACTAAACCTAAATGAACTTAATAGTGAGTGAACCGATTTTGTCTCTTTGTAAAAATGGTAAAAATGTTATTTATTTTCCCCTCTTTATTTCTGGATGTTTACTTGTTGCATTACTGTCGACTGTAATAGGAATGAGCATTTTGTTATGTATCCTATGATGTTTTTACAATTATACTTCCACAACATACTTATGTGAGGATGCATTCATATGTTTGAGTATGTCATGTGCTGTAATGTGCCTTGGATCGAAGTCAAATATGAATTCTTGTGGCCACAGTATATTGTCTGTATTGTTTGGAGCTGTCTTTGTTTATGTGTAAAATTACAATAACAAATATAGTTTAAAAAAAGCACTGGCACATTTTATAAAAAGATTAAACCTGTGCAGACAAACAAATTATCATTCACATTAACATTCATTAAAAAGATTAATTTTACAGTCATGGTACACTCTGAGTCCCAGCTAAATAGAAATCTTCAGTAATTATCCCAATTCCAGTATTTTTAATATAATTAGGTGTGTAGTATTAGTGTTACACAAAAGGTGACATTTAAAGTGACGGACTGTTGAAAGCAATGGGCTATGCATTTGTTGTTTTCCTCCACATGAACTGTTGTGAAAAATATACATTATTGATCTTTTGCCCAATGTAAAATATCAGAAAGAAGCATATTATGCATTCAGTACTCATTATTCAGAGGCGTACT